GATATATATATGAGATATATGATATATATATATCAGACATATATGAGATAGAGAGAGAGAGAGCGAGTGCGAGAGAGCGAGTGAGGGCAACAGAGAGAGAGCAAGCACACGCACAAGGGCAGCAGTGGCTGCTGACATGTGGTCAGATATTGGATGCCAGTGCTGGAGCCATGCAAGTGTCTGGCAGAGTGATGTCTCTCATTCTGAAGAATATGTCTGTCTGTCTGTCTGTCTCTCTCTCTCTCTCTCTCTCTATATATATATATATAGTCTCTCATTCTGAAGACTGTATCTCTCCTTAGCTCTACAGAGATTCAAGCAATTCTCCAAGATTCTCCCAGATTCAAGTGATTCTCCTGCCTCAGCCTCCCAAAGTGCTGGGATTACAGGCATGAGCCATGGTGCCAGGCCTTAATTTAATTACTAATTATTAATTACGTAATTTAAAAAATAAGTATTACAACAGCTCTTTTAAAATTTGTCTAGCAAGTTTTCCAATTTTCACTGGGAACTATTCCCCCTAAAATAGGTAAATGCCAGCTATGTGCCAGATACTGTGCTAGGTGTAGTGCCAGGGATACAACAGGGAGCAAACAGGTAAGGTTCCTGGTTCTCATGAACTACTTTAAAGCAGAGGGTAACAAATAATAAACAGGATAATTAAACAGTGGGATAGTCCTATAAAAGGAATAAACAGGCTACTCTCAATGCAATGCCCATGGGCTAGCCCAGCTCCACAAGAAGACAATTAAAAAAGAAAAAAAATAGGGCAGGTGCAGTGGCTCACGCCTGTAATTCCAGCACTTTGGAAGGCCAAGGCAGGCAGACCATGAGGTCAGGAGATTGAGACCATGCTGGCTAACACAGTGAAACACCGTGTCTACTAAAAACACAAAAAATTAGCCAGGCGTGGTGGCATGCGCCTGTAGTCCCAGCTACTCAAGAGGCTGAGGGAGGAGAATCGCTTGAACCCAGGAGGTGGAGGTTGCAATGAGCCAAGATCGTGCCACTGTACTCCAGCCTGGGTGACAGAGCAAGATTCCGTCTCAAAATAATAATAAAAAAAATAAAAACAAACAAACAAATAAGGTGATATGATAAAGAACACCTTGTATGGGACTACTTTTAAATAATATGGCCAGAAAATACCTGTCTGAGGAAGTACGACAACACGAGCCGAAACCTGAAGGATGAAAAGATGTACAAGGCCTGCAGTACAGTACAGGGAGTAACTCAGCATTATCAGCGTTGTCCAAACTCTGCACAGGTCAAGAACGGTTTGTTTTCCCTGCCCAGCTCCTGGAAGACAACCTCTAAAACCTTAGACTACCCTGCCTGTTAAAGACTTCCTGGCTGGGTGTGGTGGCTCATGCCTGTAACTCCAGTACTTTGGGAGGCTGAGGTGTGTGGACCACTTGATGCCAGGAATTCAAGCAAGACCAGCCTATCAAACACAGTGAACGCCCATCTCTACTAAAAATACAAAAATTAGCCAGGCATGGTGGCGTGTGACTGTAATCCCAGCTACTGGGGAGACTGAGACATGAGAATCACTTGAACCTGGAAGGCGAAGTTTGCTGTGAGCTCAGATCACACCAGTGCACTCCAGCCTCAGTGACAGAGTGAAGCTCGACCTCAAAAAGAAAAAAAAATTTTTGAATTAATTAATTAAAAAAAAAACTATTTTGTTTACATGAGGCACTGGGTCATGCCAACTAGTTTCCGCTAACAATGTAATCTACGGTGGGGGCCTTGGGTCACTCATCAGCTTGGCCTCTGAAGGAAGCACAGAACTAAGGTCAGCCACGTGTGACTCAGAGACCAAGGCTTGGTGAGCCTTCCTGGTTGCCAATATTCCAAGTATGTTGTCACACACTGCTGCTGGAACAATGAAGCACTGTGTGCACAACTCCACTGGAAGACTATTGAAAGCTTGTGCCTGGTGGTGTCTCCTGAACCTTGCCCTATGTGTTTTTTTCTGTTGCTAAATTTAATCCATATCATTTCAATGTACTAAACTACAATTTGAATATAAAACCTTTTCTGAGTTCAGTCTTAAATTACTGAACCTGAGGGTAGTCTTACAGATCCCCAAATATCCTGTACAATGAAAATTACAAAATATTGCTAAGAGAAATTAAAGAACAAAAACAGAAATAGACAAATGTGTCTATACCAAACTTTAAAACTTCTATGCACCACAGGAAGCAGTCAACAGAATGAAAAGGCAACCTACAGAA